GCCATTGTTCAAATGGCAATGGCTGGAGACCCGGACATTATTCATGATTTCCTACTGCCTGCAAATGGAACAGTAGATGCAAACTTCTTCACATACACCGGCTTTCGTGTTCTTGTTGGAGGCGGCCCTCCCACAGCCTTCAAGGTATTGAAGGCAACCTTGGCTGAGTTCCCTGCTCTTGATGGACAGAGTGTTTCCTATGCCGTTCTCGAATTCCCATCTGGCACTACTAACCCACCACACACTCATCCTCGTTCTGCTGAGCTCCTTTTCCTTGTTGATGGTACCCTTGAAGTGGGTTTCATTGACACAAAAAACAACCTCTTTACACAGACTCTTCAATCAGGTGATCTGTTTGTGTTCCCCAAGGGACTTGTGCACTTCCAGTACAATGCTGATGCACAAAACCCAGCACTAGCAATTTCTGCTTTTGGAAGTGCAAATGCAGGAACTGTATCACTCCCCAACACTCTGTTTACCACCGGGATCGACGACAATGTCTTGGCTATTTCTTTTAAGACTGATGTAGCCACCATTCAAAAGCTCAAGGCTGGTCTTGCTGCCAAGTCATGAGGATGGTGAACGCATTTGTTCTAGCATTTTTATTTCGTTCTTGTGTTTTTGTTTTTCTTACTAATTCGCTTTGAATAATTGCCCTTGTAATGTTGGACGGGGATTTCATCAACCTGTATTACAATGTGTCTTTATTTATTGTCAACGTCATTATTACACTCTTTTCTACTTACAAAAATCCTCAATTTATTTAAAATTGTTAGGATAAATACATCAAATTGGAGATCAACCATAACTATACTATAAAACAAACTAGAAAGAATACCTTCATAATTAATGTAGATCATTCCCTCAAAATAAAAAAAAAACTTAATGTAAAGCATAGTCAGCAAGGCCAATTCCAAATACTACAAAATGTTCCAGTTCTTCAAAGCTAACACCTCTAAGAACTACATCAACCTTCCAAAATTGAAGACGGAAAGATCGGAGGTGAAATATCTCCAAGCCAGCTTACAATCTTCTACCTCTTCTACCACCCTTTCTTCTGGTGCTGTCAGTTGGGATTGGAGTCACATCCTCTGGGAAAACAGAAAGAGTGTACGATTCAAGACCACCACCAAAAAAATAAAATAAAAAGGCTTTAAAAATGATCTCGTTGTAGGTTCCATTGATAAATTACTGTATTTGACTACAAAAATTTCCACGAAGTCACCCAGTGTAGAAATGCGATGAGGATAGGAATGACGACAATTTCAGAAATTGCATTCCTTTGATATTGTTTCATGCATAGTGATCTGAAACTTTCTTTTTTCCAAAAAGAAAAGGGCTTACCAATGCGGCCAATTCTCATTCCTGAACGAGCAAGAGCCCGTAGTGCAGACTG